ACACAGCTTTGGCTGCACCAGTGCCATGCTGTGATCATCACATCTGTGTGTGCACATGTGTTCCTGGAAGCACTTTGGATGCTCCTTGCTTATCAGACTAAACCAAGTGGATGAAGAGGGAGGGCAACATCACAGCTTTTTCAGTCCAATGGCTTCAGTATTAAATTGTGTTTCCTCTAAATTCCCCAGCACTGAGATATGCATACCAGGTCTCCAGACAAATCAAATGGCTGAACAGGCAGTTAAAATCCTGGCTTTACTGCTGGGGCAGCATCAAATTTCCCCATCTTTGCTGGGCCAATCAGTGAGTATGAAGGCTGTGGTCCTCCCAGATCCTGGCCTGGATAGGAGCCAGTGTCATCTGTAGTGTAAATTATAGAAATCCCAAACCAGACTGCAGCTGCTCAAATGCCACGTTTATGTGAAGTCATTACCAGCCAAAGACCAGGTCACACACCCATCTATGATCTTAAGCCCAAAGCCTCAGAAAAAGTCTGCCTAGGTTGTTGTATAGGACTTATTCCACCCATGGATATAGCCAGTAAGGGCTGGTAGGAAGGTACTCATTTTTGATGATAACATATGGCAAGTAAGATCTTCCACAGCCTAAGAGGAAAGCCAAAAGCCATAGTGTTTTTAATTCATAACCAACCTGAGATACGGTCTTGAGCTTGAGGTACATTTTGTGGTGTGCACAGCTTCCTCCTCCAAGGATTCTCTTTTGGGAGTCTGTACCCATCAGTCTCCTTCAAACACCAGCCCTTTTCTCTCCATCAGACCTGCTGCAGGTATGAGTATATGAGTACATGTTTGATGTATTTCTTTCAAATTTCCCAAATTTGGAACAGGGACTACTTGAGTGGATGAATCCAGGGAAGGTTGAGAACACATCGTACTTATCCTGGAACTGATTCAAACTTCTGAAGAAGCACTACACTGGGTTACCTCAGATCCAGACCTGGTTTCACAATCACCAACCTTCTTACTATATTCATCCACCAGAAAACAGAGAGTGTTACAGTTTGGTGCAGTCATAAGCACATCATTGCCAATGGAAAATTGTGTTGGCAGATTCTTTTATACCCAGCCAAATATACAGAAATGGAAAGGTCAGCTGTGCAGGCACTGGTTTTACATATGTGCATTAATTACAACACAGTTGCCTTTTGTTATTAATTTCATCTGCTCAATATGTATCAAATTGAATGAGAAGAAAGAGGGCCCACAGAAAGACAGAAAAGGGAAGCCAGGACAATCTATGAATGGGACTGGTCCTCCCTTTCTGGATCACACACTGGAAAAGATTCAAAACTAGCCAATTGCAGGGAATGGGAAAAGCAAAGAGAAAGGTATCCCTTGTTAGCTACAGCTTTTTCTATAAGGCTTTCAGAGGTCTGCTGCAGAGACACTGGAATAGTTCAGTGAGCTTGGCTTCTTGGTGAACCCCTACAATGGAGATTTTCCCAAGCAAGTGTGTTCAGGCACTCTGGTATGTTAGCTTCTTCTTAAGTATACAGCCATGGTCCTGATTTTAATTAGTCAAAAACGTTTTTCGTTAAGCACCATGACACATGCACTTTTTGGGGATACCTGCCCTCAGGCAACACTAGAAACTGTGTGAAAGAGAATACTCAACAATGTCATCAGAAAATTCAGAACATCAATTTGCATTTATGTGTGGATTGAATACTTTGGCTATGATAATGTCTGAAAAACAGACAGCATCATTTAAAATGTGGTTAAGAGGCTGGGTACAACTTTCATGATTCTAGCCTGTGCACTATTCCTCTCACAGATATATTGTAACTGTGTACTTACCTGACGGTGCTGTGCCCAAATACCTTAGGTAAAAGGATTTCCACTGTCAAAGAAGCACCACAGAACCTGGTTATTCTCTTCTTGAATACTTTGGCTATGATAATGTCTGAAAAACAGACAGCATCATTTAAAATGTGGTTAAGGGGCTGAGTACAACTTTCATGATTCTAGCCTGTGCACTATTCCTCTCACAGATATATTGTAACTGTGTACTTACCTGACAGTGCTGTGCCCAAATACCTTAGGCAAAAGGATTTCACTGTCAAAGAAGCACCACAGAAGTTGCCAGAACCTGGTTATTCTCTTTCCAGAACAAGAAAGATGCACGTTGTGAAAGAATCACAGAATAGGACACAACTTCCCCAGGGAACACACGGTAATGAGCATGAGCTCTGCAATTAGACTTGCTGAGACCGAGTTACCAAAGCCTCCTGGCCAGGCCAACCTCCTTCTGCAGCTTCACGTAGTGTCTCATGGTGTTGAGTTGTGGGAGTCCCCATTGCATCCACCTAGTTAAACCCTTTTAGCCACAGGAGCTTTGTTCAAGCGAGGAGAGCTTTCTGCTGTGTTATGGCTCCCTAAAACCCCTGAGCCAGGGGCTTCCAGGATTGCCCAAAAAATCACAGTACTGCAAAAGAGAAAAAATTGCAATTAATAATTGTCACTTAAAAACTTACATCCTCAGATGATTAATACAAAGTGAATTCTCCATGGTTTATAAATTATATTTCATTAGATACATATGAAATAAGCTGTATAACCAGCCCTGTACCAGGACTTCCCCTTTCTGGTCTTGTAGGATTACCCAACAAAATGGCTTTGCTGTCTGCTGAGGTAGTCATTTCATAGGAAGGCTCAGTCATGCAGTATATACTGGAATCTGCTATTGACTTGTAGGAACACAAAAGAAAAGTGGCAATGAGCTAGAAGCTTTTAGGCAAGTAGTTCAATAGACCTTCTTCCTGAAACTGTTCCTGTCTCTTTCAACCTATCCTGCAAGAACACCAGATAAAACATCAAGTCCAGGGTGAATACAAATTGGGCTGTGCAGTTGTAGTGGTCTGGTCAAGATAAAATTAGTATGGATTTTCTTTAATCCTTTGATCTATGTTGCCATGCAGGAGGGCAGGCGTTTACCATAAGAAAGGTGGACTATCATATTAAAGTTTTCCTTGTGCTCTTCATTGGTGTAGTAGTTTCAATTCATTGCAGAGCCCCACAAGAGCTGCATTGATATCAGCCTAATAGGAGGTGCTTAGTCAGAGAGCTACTTTTTAGAGTTTCCCCATGGTGGGGATTCCTGCAGCCTCCAAAATAATATTAACTGTATGCACACCAGCAATAACACGATGCCTCTACCCTGTTCTCTGTAGGTTGCAATTGTCTATATGCTCTACACTTTGCTAGCCTACTTCTAGTTAGCATACTTTGTATGCTTTTAAGGGATGGCCTGAATACTGATTAGATACTTCCTTGTGTGTTATCACAAGCAGGTGAGAGGTAGTTAAGAGTTTCTTGGAGTAACTGATTACTAATTTGATATAAAATTAAATAACCATACAAGAAACTACTGTTTAGCTGCAAAAGCACGACTAAATAACAAGGAAGGATTTGGACCTTGCATGCCTCCCTTACCTGCTGCTAACTGAGTGAGGTGTCAGAAGCAGGTAGCAGCTCTGTGGTGCCAGTACATCTTTATATGCTGTTCACATTCCATTGCAACATGTCACATTTGATATGGCATAATGCAATGTGACTAATTTAATCAGATGTGAAGTGCACTACAGCAATGTATCAAGTCTGAAAATTTGGAAAAAAAAAAGTTGGAGTAAAAAATAAAGCATTCTCCTATCCATGGTTGGATTATTTTTCTCAGCTGGAGGGCTACATTTTCTGAGCTTGGCCTTTTCTATTCTGACCTTCCAGCCAAGGGCATGTGTCAGGAGGCTTGTATTTCCCAAAGGCAGTGACACAGTCTATTAGGTCATATGAGCTGGATCATCAAGCCTTTGTCCACCTCAACTTCTGGGCCACCATTCCTTACCCACCCCCACATCCCCCAGCACTAACTCATGATATGATGCCCTTGCCTTTGACAGGTCGGGAGGGGAAAAAGCATTTTATTGCTGAACACGTACATAGCAGAGCCCAGAAATGAAGCGAGCTTTCTGTGGTCTGGTGCTACTCACTTAGTAAGTCTGCATTTAATTAGCTACTTCTGAAATGTGACAAGGAGAAAACACAAGATTTACAAGTCTGCTTGCATTTCTAACCCAGGGCTCAGCATTGTTTTGTTTTAAGGTGATGATTATAATCATAAATACCAAAAGAGCCCATGTCCACAGGGAGTTCATCAAGCTTTCAGTACTTTTGGGAAGTGTATCCACCCTCATCCATTCTGGACTATCTCCTAGCCTGGGAGTGTGTGGATGGACAGGCTGCCATGCACAGACATTAGCAACTTTGCCCTTTCAAACACCGAGTGACAAGAGACTCGGAGATGACTCTTTCTTTGGTTTAGTCCTTTATTTTAGATCTACCGCTTCTCTTTGTACATTACCAAGTGTATGGAAGGCAGTGCAAATAATAATTTGCTTCTTCTTCACTACAGACCTGAGGGTTTTTTGGTGAAGTGTTGTGGTCCTCAAAGAGTTGTGAAAAGGTCTCAGAGGAACATATATAGCGCTAGAAGAAGCCTAAGAAACACTTAAACTGGTGAAAATCTATGAGCTTGCTGAACCTAAGGGGTGGGGGGCTGTGGAAGGGTCACATAGTTGAGAAAGAAGACTATATTTTCACAAGATCTGGGAAATAATGCCATGGGAAGAGAGGAAGATGTACCTACTCCAGTTACTGTGGCAGACAATTCCATAGAATAAAACAGAAAGAAAATCTTAGAAAACAGTATGATAAAATATGCTTATATGTTACAAAGAAGTAAAAACTATTTATTCTACCCTTGTCCCTGTGCTGAGCATACCTCAGCTAAAGGAGAGGCTCACCCTTCTTTTTTGCCTCTTTGAGGACCAAGGAAACTTTGTGATGGTGTGCTCCTTTAAGACCCAAACATCACAAACAGGTTTTGTGATCTCTCTTCTAATTTCATCAGGCCTGGAAAGGTTTTGCTGATTACAAATGAGAAGATGCTGTGTTAGCTCCTCCTCCAGTGGTTGGTTTGCTTCTTATAGCCCTAGTCCCCTCCACCTCCCCTACCAGTGGCGCTTTCACTGTGTTCCTACCTTGGAAGAAGGAAAGGGGACCCTTTCAAAAAGAAGTAGGGCTAAATTGCAAGGTAAGGTCTGGTCATGATGGGGAAGGTCTGTTGGTGTTGGTTTAGCCCTAAGACTACTTTGTAATTTATGAGGTAAACATGAGCTTTTATAGCGCTTGGACTCTGTGTCCCATTTTCTTGTGAAACCAGTAACTTTGTGATAGGTCTCCTGTTCATTGACCTTTACCCTTGGCTTTAGGTGGACCCTATTCAAATGGCTCAACAGACTAGCCTGAGAGCCCTGGGTCCCCCTGGGGAAGGGGATGCTGCAGCAGACAGCCAAACCCAGCAGCCTGCCAGACCTCGGAGAGCTAGATCCCGGAGAAGAAGGTGTAGACAGGCAGCTCCTGCATCCCAAGGAGAAGATAAACCTAAGACCTTTCAAGGTGACCTGTGAGAAAGGGGTGGTAGTATTGGCTGAGGAGGGGGATGAGTGCTGCTTAATTTCAGTTGCTATTCCTCGTTTGTCTTGTCTGTTTGCCTGTAGAAAGCTCCCTCAAAATAAGGGTTCAAAAGTAAAAGAGCTCTAGGTGACACCACTATGGCTGTCTTGTTAGCATTTTCAGAGCTGCTGTTTGCTGACCTGCACAAAATTGTCTCGTGTCCTTGTGTCTGGCTCTCTTCCCCAAGAGCTAAAACCTCCTGTTAACTCACAAAGAAAACAGAGAAATATTATCTTAGAGGGCTTACTCTAGAATTCCTTCTTTTATGTGATGTATGTCTGTCTTTGAAACTTAACTCAAGGCATGTTTATGCAGTGCTTGGAGTTCAGGCTGGTTCCCTATGGTTTGAATGGAGTTACTTGCCAGCCTTAGCAGTGTTACCCTCCCACTGTGCAGACTGATTCTGCAGCTCACCAAGAGCAAATGCCATGTAGGATCTACTGGGTTTGTACCCACCCAGTGTGGCTTGGAGTTAGAGAAAGTGCAGCACAGTAATTTCGTACTGGCTCTTGTTCTGAGGAACCCAATGGCTTCTTTGCAGCAGAACTGCAAGGCAAGGATGCTGCCAGGTGCCTTTGTTATAACAGGTAGGCAGGTAGTTTCCAGACCTTATAGCCAGCTTACATGTGCAGGAAGCCTCCTTCTAAATTGCAGAGATTTTTTTAAACACATAGACCTCCTCTCATGAGGAGGCAATTTTCCTGGCTAGCTCATGGAGCACTCCAAAAACCTTTCTGAGCTTGATGTTCAGAATGGTGGCAGTTCCCATAGCCTGGGAGCAGTTTGATGGTATAACACAAACCCTTTTCAAAGGCCACAGCTGGGCTGTGATAAAGATTGTCTGGGAAGATTGTGTAGCAATATTTCAAGGTCAAAACTCCCTTTCCTTAGTACTTCTGAGATGATAGACCACAAAGAAAGAGAAACCAAAAACAGGTATATTGGAGGGGTGGAGGGTGTGAGAGAGGCAGACGTGATAAAAGGAGTCAGGAGTAAATTAAATGAGTTAAGCTCTTGAATGAAAGGCAAAATAAAGTATTGAAGCTCAAGAATGGTTTGTAGTTAGTTTTTTACCTTCCTTCAAATTTCTTTTTTTGTGTAGTTTTCTCTTAAAGTTAGCATGCTAGATGGATTGCAGGACTATTGCAGTGGTTTGTATGGAGCTAGGAGAACACTGAAATCCAAGAGCATTGTGGTCAATTTCCCTTTTAGTTCCAGCCTTAGTTAACCAGAGCATGAGGTTTCTCTGCCCTTGCTGGGAAGACAAGAAGAACTGTTTTCACAACAGTAGAGGCCAGCAAAATGGAGTACAATTGATTCTTAATTCTGACCTTGGAAAAATGATGCTGAGTCTTGTGATAAACAATTTATTTTCTCAAAGGCTTAGGGTGAGGTTGGGGGGAAGAGGTGTGAGACACCTTTAAAATATTTAGTGATTAGATAACATAAGGACGATCAGACAGAAGCTTTTTTCTTGGCTTTGGATTTTTGTTCTGTTCTGCCTGATCTAATCTTGTTACTTTCCCCTGCAGTTTACAAATTTAGCAGTCATTCCCCACCTGTAAGTGATCACTGCAATGGTGGAAGCTCTCGGAGTCCTGCGCTGCCTGATGATGGAGATGTTATGGGAATGATGGCTAGGGCTGCTGGATACTGGGGGAGGCGAGAAACTCCTCAGTGTTGGGTCAGAGGCTGCACTTGTGCTTGTTCAAAGGCTGAAAGAGAAGAAGGCCATCCTTCCAGGAGCCGTGTGCTGCCATGTGATCTAGACGAAGATGACAGCTCCACCTCCATGATAAGAGAGGGATTATTTTCAGTGGCTGAAGATGCTGATGGCAGCACTGAGGACACTGGGACAGCCAGATCTTGGGCTGGTGCTAGAAGTGATGATGGTCCCAGGAGCTTAGCAGAGGAGTATTCACTGGTTCCCATAAGCAGACGAAAGCAATATTCTGCCCAGACTTTTCATGATGCAGTAGAAAGATTTTTGAGAGGGTTCTGAGCTTTGGCACATCCATTTTGAATTTGGGAGCCAAATCTGTGGAGATGCAAATGCCTGTCATCATGTGCACAGTTTATTGTAATACAGGTTGAAGCCTGCAGAAAAGCCATGAAGGTTCAAACAGAGTAAAGCTCAGTATATTGCTCTTAGATTGATAGACAGCTAGAAAGTTATTTGCATTCCAGTTTTGTCTCCTTGATATGTGTTGCTGCCTTCTTCAGGAGCTTAAAAACCTTTAGTAATCATAAGGCATTAAAAATGGAAAAATTACTTTGACTCTAAGCTAATGTAATGACTATTTCTTTTGCAATGTTAAGAGAGAGGCAAAATGCAGCTTTTTTATTATTTCTCTGCAATAGAGTCTCTATTTAATAGCTTCTTGAAGATATTTGAAATTCAAAGCCTTTGTTTATGCTAGAATTTCTTTGCACTAAATGCTTTAATTTACCCTATAGAGGCCTAGAGGGTTTGGTATTTTTTTTGTGTGTGTTTTTTTTTCTTTAACTTGATCTAAATCTAAAAATTGTATTCTGCTGCATATATTAGATTATTCATATATAAGCAGTTATGTATGATAATGTGAGATAGCTAGAGCACAACCTGCTTAAAAAGTCTCACACCCTTTAGCTGTTAACTTGTCACATGAATTAAAAATAAAAAAAATTCTGAGTACCTTATCAAATTTTTCTTTTTTTTTTTTTTGAAATGGGGAATAATGGAAATAATGATCTGGATTTCCTAGCTGAGAAATTTTGGCTTAGACATTTTTCCTTTATTTAGTTAAGGGCTAGATTTCAGGAGTATATACCTTAGCCTAACAGTAAAATGCTAGTACATGGTTAATGGAAAATGGCTATACTTCAGGAACCTGATCCATGAGGATCATTGAAGTCTAGCTCCTGGCAGGGATGGGCCCCAAAACTCATACTAGGTGCCTGAGAATATTGTCCAAGTGCTTCTTGAACTCTCTCAGGCTGGTGCTGTGACCACTTCCCTGGGGAGCCTGTGCCAATCCTGAAGCACCCTCTGGGTGGAGAACCTTTTCCTGTATATAACCTAAATGCCCCCTGACATAACTGCATGCTGTTCCCTCATCTCCTCTTGCTGGTGACCAGGGAGAAGGGCTGTGGACTGCTTTGAGGTTTGCCCTCAGTCAAAAAGAGTTGCCATTTTATGGACATTCTGCAGACATTTGTGTTCTTATGAGATGTACTGACAAATTAAACACCTAACCTCTAGGCTTCTTGACTTTAATATGCCTATAAGCTTAAAATTAAGCATATGCCTACCCTTGAGTCAGTCTCCTCCTTTCACACTGGAGGCTGTCTATATATGAGGTAAATATCACAAGTGTTACACTAAAGAGAATCAGGCAACTTGTGCTTTATGCAATTGTTCAAACTGAGAAAGGGCTGCTGCTCTAGTCAGAGCAATTTGCAGAGTCTGAAAATTAGAGGTATGGGGTTTTTTGTTTGTTTTTTCCCCCCTTCTCTAGCTATCTGTTAGAATACTGAAAGGTGAATGGTATTTCCATTTGTTTCCAGAAAGGTGAATGTGACTTGCTCTTTCTTCCCTCTTCATCTGAGCCCCAAATTAAGTCTCATTCCTCTGAGTTATAACTGAGCAGCTTCATAGAGCAAATCACATAAAGTTCTAAGTTTTGTGGGTTTTTTTTTTTGCATGTGTGGTTTGTTGGTTTGGGGTTTTCTTTGTTTTTAAGACTATGCTTAACTACAGTGAGATTTTTTTTCTTTACCTGTTAGTAAGGCATTTGGCAAATCTTTAGGACCACATGGTGCAGCAGTCTGGGTCAAGCATGTGATAAAAAAATATTTGGGCTATGCAGCATAGTAGTAGTTGCTTATTCCTTCTTGAGATGTGTGTTATTTTCTACTTGGGTGTTTCCAGAAATACTTGGAGCTTTTGCATTCAGGTCTTTTAAGGCCTCTAGACTAAAAAATGGAAAATTGTCCCCAGATGAAGCTAATAGTGTCTTTTTTTTGGTCCACATTACACCAAAACAGTATTGGAAGTATGCATAGCTCAATTCACCTGACAGGCCTGCTCTGTGAAGGTACTGCAGGGTATAATGCAGAATTAAAACTATTATCTTGTTGTTATAGCTGAAATACTGTAAGGCATCTACAGACACCTCTAAAATTATGCCCTTGATTATATAAATTTCAGAAAGTGATATGCTCATGAAAGTCAGCCTGGCAATGTTTCATGTAGTCTTTCAAGAGCTTTAGTTTTCAGGCTTGTGAAACGTTTTATTTTTTTTAATAAAACAAAACCCCCTCATAAATGTCACCCGTAGGTAGTAAGATACCAAGCATTGTAGAGGTGTCAGATTTTTGACAGCATGATTCAGTATTGTGCATTTTCAATTTGACAACTATTTAGTTTTTCCTTGTGGATCTGAGATCCTGTAAGCATTTTTGTGCATACTTGTCTGTTTTTCACAAATGATTCTACAACTGGGATTTTTATCACATGTTGAGTTAAACACAGGTAGAAAGGTCTGAAAGATCAACACCTCTGAGGAAAAGTCCTCTTGTGGTAACTTCTGAGGAAAGAAAAGCTTGTGAGGCAATAACTTGAGATATCTTCTAAGGAAAATAGAACAAGCAAAGCTGAGGACCAGCTTGGGGGAAAAAAAAAGAAAAATCTGTCTCTTGAAAAAAATGGATCAGAGGTAAAGAATGTTTTTTCTTTGAGAATTTTAATTTCTGTACTCATTTTGCATTTGGCTCACACTTATCTGCCTGTTTGTATATATGAGTGACTTGAAAGAATTCAGGACCGAAGTCTAATGCTGAATAGCAACTCGCATGAGTCCAGAGTTTCTCATGTTGCTGAGCTTTAATTCATCATTTCCTTCCAGCATGGTGGTTATAATAATGTCTCATCAGCTCATTACATGGGCACAGTAATAAAATGGCAAAATTTCTTTTTCTAATTGTTCATCCTAGATAGATTTATAGATAAAACAAAGTGGCACAAAGCTGGCTAGCCCTTAGACTATGAATGTCTAAGGGTTCTATGTATGTGCTCTGTCTAGAGGTACATTTTAACTTTTACATCACTGCAGCATCACTACAGCTGCCCCCCTTCCTAGATCCAGCCAAGAGAACTTGAGTATCTGGATGCCAGAGGACTGTTTGCTCTCTCCAAATATTTTCTTTTTATTTTCTCCATTTGGCTTCCTTTTCTGAGTCTGATCAAGTATCTGTGAGAACAGGTGTCCCAATGGTGCTCTTTTATACCTTGTCTACATCTGTAGAGGTGTCTGTATTTTTTTCAACTAAGAGCTGGTAGGAATTGGAAGGTTTGAGAGAGGAGAACAATCTCAGTGAACTTGGAGACCAGACTAAAATCTCTTGAGTGCAGAGGCTGTCTTTTTTCTGCCTTTCCATCATAATTAATTCAGTGGGGCCCTGATCCATGACTGGGGCTCTAAAATAATATAAATTACTGTGACCTGTTGGAGTGAGTTCAGAGGAGACCACGAAGATGATCAGAGGGCTGGAGCACCTCTCCTATGAAGACAAGCTAAGAATTGGAGTTGTTCAGTCAGTAAAAGAGAAGGTTGTGGGGAGACCTTAAAGCAGGCCTGCAAGAGAGCTGGAGAGTGACTTTTTACAAGGGAACTTGGTAGGAGAGGGTGGAATGGTTTTAAACTGAAAGAAGGCACGTTTAGAACAAATTCTTATTTGTTCTTATTATTAGGAACAAATTCTTAGCTTAATGAGGGTGCAGAGGTGCTGGAACATGTTTCCCAGAGAAGTTATGGGTGCCCCACAACTGATGTGTTCAAGGTCAGGTTGGAGGGGGCTTTGGGCAACTTGGTTTAGTAGGAGGTGTTCCTACCCATTGTTGTGGTAGTTGGAACTGAATGATCTCTAAGGTTGTTTCCAAGCCAAACCATTTTATGATTAATTATTTTGTTACAGTAGTGTCCTTTCCCTTCCCCATGTTCAGCTGGCATGTAGAAAGAGGGTTCATAGTATTCAAAACTACTGATGATTTTCTGAGCCTTTCTCTACAGTCAGTAGACTTTTTATCACTGCTCTGAGCAAAAAATCAAGACAATCTTCAGTAAAGGATCAGGAGCTATGGTGTTTTGAGGTTTTTGTCTATTTAAACCAGTCTGTCCATGCCTACTTAGAAAGATCCAAAGAGTGTGTGTCAAAGTGTTAGCTGAAGAGCTACAAATAGCATTTTATTCCTTTCTCCCTACCTCCTCCCCCCAATAACTCTATTGTTCTTATAAATCCACAGCATTCCAGCTGTGCCTTGACAAGAGCCCTGACAGTCGCAAAAGCCAAATCACAGGAGCAGCGTTCTTGTTCCCTGAATTATTTTACACAGCTAAATTTAATACTTCCCCCCACTCCTCCACCTTTCACTCTGGCAGATACTTAAGCTGCAAATTAGAGATGCACCGAATTAGCCTTCAAACCTCGCAAACACTGTCAGAAAGCTGACTCCGTAACGATGTGGCTTTGATACCAAGCAGATTATTGCTTATGTACGGCGGCACTCACAAACATGTGTGTACTTGTAACTCCTGGCCCTGGTGCCGTGGGTCATTAATGCACAGGACAGAGCCCCGCGCGCCCCGCCATCGGAGAGGAAGAGCCAGACTTTCCAACAGCCAGTTGGCAGGGCTGTGATTGGAACCATGTGACAGTTTGAGGCAACGTACCACAGGCAGCCAATTTATTACATATGGCAATATGATTAATGGTATCAAATGTTTTTATAAAAATTGAAGGAAAAAAAAAAGTTCAAGAATATTGCCACGGCCAATTGCACAGAGTCCAAGGCAGTACAAATCTGTTCCATGAATTTAAAGGCAGGCAGATGAGGTTAAATGAGAGGGAGAGAGCCAAGATAATGATTACAAAGTAAGTTTCAAAAAGAAAACTGTGTAGAATGTGCTCATGAGCAACAGCCCCTTTTCTCTCCTGTCTTACATCCTTAATGGATATAAGCTGGAATAGGTCTCTGAAACTAAACTGCATCCTGCTCTTAACCTCTCTTCCTGTAATCCAAAGACTCATTAATGGTATCCAACAACACTTACAGGGCGTAGAAGAGGAAGGGCTATCATTTTGCTTTGATAATGACTTTCTCTTTTTTTTTAATCAGATGTTCTGGTTTAACACACAGATGGTTTGTTTCTGTCAAAACAAACAGAAGTGTTAAAGGTACAATTATTGAGGGGAAAAAAAAATCAGGAAATGCAAGTGTGGAGGTGATGTCTGCACATTGCAGTATTTTTCTTCCCCAGTTTCTTGCTGACCATCCTGCTGAGTCAAGAAGCTGTGGCACAATTTTGGTCTGTGTTGGGTGCCCAGACAGGAGCTGGGTGCAGTCTGGGAGTCTGCACAGCATGGAGGCAAATCCTCAGAGTCAGTCTGCAGAAGGCTGTTTTGCTCTGGAGGGTAGGAATGGATGCAGGTTGGGTTATGCTCACGTGCCTCCATGCCACACAGTAGCCCTAAACACCTCTCAGTTACTAGTGGTGGCACAGCTAAAGTTATGAATTACACTCATCTGAAAGGTTTCACACATGCCACCTTTCTTGTGCTTCTCTGGCTAGCTCCTGGGGCTTCATATTTGTAGGTAGGGATATGTACCCTCCTAATCTCCTTGAGT